GGAGACTCATCCACTTCCCTGGGCAGCCTGTTCCAATGCCTGACTACCCTTTCGGTGAAGAACTTTTTCCTAATGTCCAACCTAAACTTCCCCTGGCACAGCTTGAGGCCATTTCCTCTCATCCTATCACTTGTTACTAGGGAGAAGAGACCGACCCCCACCTCACTACAACCTCCTTTCAGGTAGTTGTAGAGAGCAACAAGGTCTCCCCTCAGCCTCCTCCAGACTAAACAACCCCAGCTCCCTCAGCCACTCCTCATAAGACTTGTGCTCTAGACCCTTCACCAACTTCGTTGCCCTCCTCTGGACTCGCTCCAGCACCTCGATGTCCTTCTTGTAGTGAGGGGCCCAAAACTGAACACAGTACTCGAGGTGCGGCCTCACCAGTGCCCAGCACAGGGGCACTATGACCTCCCTGGTCCTGCTGGCCACACTATTCCTGATATAAGGAATATGCAAATCCTATTCAGGATGTGAATTATCTTAATCATTAAATGATCTTGATCATGAAAACGCACATCCTATCCAGCAGCAATCAGTTGATCAATCGGTCACCAGCTGGAGAAAGCGGCAGTTACTTTAGGACTATCTTGCTAAATCAGGTGGATGTGACATGTAAAGAGTGGGCTACTGAAGTATTCCACTAAGGATCAAGAGATGCGATATATTCAACTCCAACAAGTATATTTCTGTTTTTTTCCTCACTGCTTTTTTATCAATTTCTCATTAACATCATACCATCTGGGTGGTGGTGTTGACTTCTCCATCATAGTTTCCAGTGCCTCATCATCTTTCTCATAACGTATTCCAGAAACAGAGTCATAAACATCTAGAAAAGTAAGTCAAGAGTTTTCTTATTGCTTCCATTTTTTTTGCTCAGGCCTCTCAGGTGACATAAGTGACTCAGACCACTTCTGTAGACTATTCACAGGATGGGCTTTATGAATACTTCAAGAAAAAGAAATTAATACATAAGCAGGACAGTGAAATCCTTTTGCTCAGGTACCACCTGCAACCACAGATGCCACTAGCAGCCAGCACCTATTTATGCCGTTCCTGAACGCATGTTCGAGAGGCATGATTCTATCTGCTGCCCTGCACATATCAATCATACATTCCACCTTCCTTCAAACTACAGTCCCAGCCACATGTCATCATTATCCCCTCCTCTTCACATATGCATCAATTGTGTGGCACATCAATTCCACAAAGCAAAATTCCACTCACATTTTCCCCACCGTCTTCACCTGCATTTATCAATAAATATCTATGTGGACATATTCATCCCTCTGATCAACACTGCCTCAGTCCAAGCAAGGCAAGGCACGCTGTAAGGAAATGTTTTGCAATATTACCAGAGGTACATGTACCTCAGCTCAGGACTCTCTAGAAAAATATCTGTCTATTTTGGCACATCATTTGGATAAACAGCCAAAGTTTAATCTCATTAGTTCTCTCCTAACCCTGAATTTCAGCTTCTACAAACATAAATGGCATTTCCTTTTGTACGCGCCTCAAGAACACCTCCAAAACCCAAGCTCACTTCAAGAAGTTAGGTGAGGTTAACACTTTTTTTTAGAGCTTACAATGTTAACAGGCAGAAAGTTAGTTCTCTTAGTGGCTGGATTCTCAGATCAAGCATCTTAGCCATGGACTAGAGAGAATGCCACAGATACCAGTTTGTCTCAAGCTTTCTGATACCACCAGAAGCTCACAGCATTATTGCACAGTGATTTAATCTTTGAAAATTTTAAGGCAAATGACCGTCTATTTGCAATTCTGCAGCCTTTGCTTTGCAGCTTCTAGTCTTACACCTACATACCCTCAGACTGCTGGAGCAGTGCTTTCACCTTTGTAACCAAAAGAATCTTCTCCCTATTGCTTTGCAGCTTGAAATTCCAACACACGTCTGCTGTGACATTTTTCCTAAAAGGGGCTGCAAATAACATATGATTCAAGCTGTCTTTCCCCTCCTTTTCCACCCTTGCTTTGTAGCTTCTAATTTACAACTCTATACTAGGGACAGTCAACGCTTGGTCAATAACCACTACCCAGTAAAATACAATCAGCTCATCAGCCAATTAGCGTGTGTAACATTCGTGTGTGATCAAAGTGAGCTCTGATCAGCACTGTTAACCTAATGACTGAAAGCAACCAACACAGAGACCAAGTAAGGCCCTGGTCAAATGGCACAGTTACTGTGGAGTAAGTATGTCAGAATGCACCAGGGAAAGATACTTACCAGGGAGGACACCTTAAATTTCTTCTCCCAGCTGGCCAATGGGAAAAGTTTTATCTTCTTTCTCTCCTGCTTATTACTCCTCCAACCTAAAGCAACTTCTACTGTTAGAGTGAATGTATTCTCTAGAACCCATGAATGAATCTTTGTACATGGAAATCTGTCTCAACATCCTTCATGTAAGAAAAACAAAACACCAAACAGCGCCAGTATTGTTTTTTTGCCATATCAAAAACTTCAGAGAATCTCTGAGATATGACAAGGTTAAAAAATTGTAAGGCAATTGTGGCAAGGAGTCACTCAGAACCAGATTATCAGAGACTATCAAAGATACTCACAAACACAAGCAGGGAGTCTTTTTCTAAGTAATTTCTAACGGTTGTGGCAGCGGGGAGAAGGAAAAGAAGCTTCTCCTGTTCACCCACCTGAACATGATACTAGTTGTTGACAAATGACACTAATGTCGTCGTCATTATCTTCTTCTTCTGCAAGACCAGAAGAATCGGGTGACGAAGCTCTTAACAGACAAAATGGCTTTCAAAAGAAAAAAGAAGTTACACAAGCAGGCTGAAAAAAATCTACATATCAACAGCAATTAACCGACAATTATTTACAACAACTTTTCTGCAAACCAGCTGTCAGACTCAAGGTGAAACTCTTCCTTTCTCTGATGGGTAGCTAGGCAAGGGTATAACCTCAGATCCCTGTATCAATGTGAGCATCAGAATGGAACTTATCATTCATTCATCAGCCAGATCACTTTAAAAGGGAAAAACATAACTCAGCAGATGTTCAGACTGACAGCACACGAAAGCTCAATTTCCATGTGGGGGATGGACATGGACAAAACCAAAACCTATCAGCTCGCTCTTATGCTGATCTACTGTCTTGACAAGATGGTTCCATCACCCATCTCAAATAAAGACACCAGCTGTCATTAAGAAAGACTACTTCATAAAGCAATTTCTGCTATATTGTACTATCTGATTCCCTAAGCTTACATAAAAAGGTTAAGTGTTGCAATAGAACACACCAGCTTAGATGTACATCCTCTCTCATCTTCACCCTTTCTCTTCCCCAGAATCAGACAAATTGAACACTACTTACTGGATCCTGATCTAAGATTAAATTAAAAAGGCACGGGCCAAGAAAGCTTTTCCACTTCTCTTCCCAGTCTTCCTGTTTTCTAGAAATAGATCCACTTGTTGACACGCAATGCTCTTGCTCTATTGTTAGCCTGTAACATACAAGCATGGAAAATGAACGTAACACATCTGTCAGTGGAGATAACAATTAAGCATAAAGATGGAGAGTATTATGTGTTCCCCTTATCCTGCAAAACCTTTGATATGTATGAACTTATTCATGCATTTGTGCATGCACTAAGAACTAACTGAAATTCGCAGCCTAAAAAGCAGCTGCTAGGTAGTCTTCATGTTTCTTACAGTAGAATTGGAAGAACTGTACTAAAATACATACGCACAATGAGATACAGGCTTAAACTTTCCCTAAGCCAGTTTCAGATAAAGTTTTAAAATCCGAGAACTGATTAACATAACAAGGAAATAAAAAATCAGATCAGCTAGCAAATGAGGTCCTCAGGAACAAAGCCTAAAATACTAATGAAGCAAGGGCAAAAAGCTGAAGTTACCGAGAAGAATCTCAGTTAAAATTTACATAGGTACTCAAGACAAATGTGAATTTCCCAGAGGCAAAGGAAAAAGATTGAACCAACATGTTCTTGCTATAAATGATATTCTTTTAGAAGAGACTCCAATGTACGAAGCCATGGTCCTTAGACTAAAGAACAAGGAACCAGAGAAAATTTCCAGACAATTACCTCTTTGCTGCCAAATCCTGTAGTATTTTATTGCAGAGCGTAATTCTATTCTCAATGACATGAAGGTCTTCAAATTCATATTGACAATGTTCATCCCTCAATGTCCTCAGGGCTTCATTTAATAACTGAATGACTGTTAAGAAATTCAGCTTTTCAGCTTCATATACATTTCCTGTGCAAAGCTGGAAGTACAGCAAGCAAGAAAAAAAAAACCACTAGTGAACAGCATCAGTATCAGAAAGTTATGTCTTCTGTAGTCTGAGCAGGGATACAAAGTTCCGCTTTGTGTTTTGATTCGGCTCCTGATTGTTTCAGTTTTCAAAAAACACACTCTAGATTTAAGCCTCAGGTTTATTTTCTAGAATCAGCTGCTTGAATGCAGCCCATAAAGCAATACAAACTAAGAAAACTTCAACTAATGAGGTATTCTGTTTAACCACTGCCCCAAAAGATGTGGCAGGCCTAAAGAGCACCATATACTACACACTGGAAACAAAAGCCCATTAGTTAAAGCAACAGTTAAACTGGTCAACTGTTTAATGTCTAAACAGCAAAAAAATCAACTACTAATCAGGCATACCAATGCAGTTATTGAACTTAAAAAGTTAATGGTTGAAACATAACCAATACAAAACAGCAGCATAATCATAGCAAACTTTTACATACAAATTACACATATTTTCTCTATTCTTGAGCAATCATCTCTTACCATCTGTGAAGTACTGTGAAGTACTGCACATCTGTAAAGTTGTTTTTTTTTTTAAAGGTATCTAATTACACCCCTGGGGACAAAAAACAAAAACAAAAACAAAACCACCTACAGTTTAGCAAGAAGGACAAAACTTACAAAACTTACTTACTTGGTGTATGTCATTTTCAACTCTGTGAAGCAACAGCTGTGGAACACTGAAAACAACATTAGTTCCGTCTAAAATGTACTGACCAACACAATCTTCAAGTAGGTGAAGTACAGAATCCACAACTTCCTTTTCCTTTTTCAGAGATGTAAGCATTCCCATTATAAGTGTCCACATACTGCGGACCTTAATAGGCAAGAAGGACAAAAATGCCACGTTAAAATGTTTGCCACCTATAATGACAGGGTAAAACAGCATAAAGGGAGATGAAGGGGCTAGCATAATCACAGGTAGACAAGTGGAAATAACAGTATCTGAGAGCAAGTGCTGAAATACAGTACACTGCCACAACAGGAAAAAAATGCTCACCTTTTGAATTCGCTCAGTTTTGTCATTTTTGTTTTGGTCATTTTGTTTCATCCTATATGCACATGCAAAACAAAAGTTCAAGTGGACTACAATGAAATTATAGTTCATATTTCATAAAATTGAGTAAGAAATTGATTTTGTATATGCTAACTTAGTTACAAGGAAAAACACTTACTTGCAAGACTGTATCTGCAGGACTGCATATTCAGACTTTATCTGGTTTATTTCTTTAATTAAAAGCCTAGGAAAAAAGTTAAGTTACCACAGATTTTTAAAAAAAAATCCAAGTTTCTACTCTGCTATTCTCAGAATTCCTTACAATCACTAACCAATCATGCTCAATCTTTCAAAATCTGCAAACTGAGGCAGTTTTGGAAGGCGGGTCGGGGCGGGGGGCGGGGGAGGATTATCCTTGACTTCCTCACCATGACTTTGTGCAGAAAGACAGCCAGGAAAGCCAGTAAGATATTTGAAAATTAAGCAATTAAGCTGTCGCTTATTCTATATTCTATTGCAATGGAACAGCTTTTCTTAGACACAAGAACAACAATGAAGTTACTAGAAATGTACTTTATCAATATAAACCTCCAAATATATTGAGCAATTATACCCAAATCCCACAGTTCCAAACAAACAGAGAACAGAATACTGGAGTACAAGCAGCTGGACCACCAAAGCTCTTTTACCAAAGCCAAAGTGCTTTTATTAAATTTTTAAGCATGTAAAAACACAGTGGCGTGATTTTCAGAAACACTGAATCATGCTGAATTCTAAAGGATCTTCAGAGTTCTGATGCCTTGCTGAGAATGAAAAAACTAGACAGAACTACATTTTTGAAGGGTACCACTCACAAGGTAAGCAAGAGCACTAACACTTCCCAAGCAGGGTGAGAGGAGATACAGAATTACAGAAATTAGAGAAGTTTAGGAGACTTTGACCTCTGGAAATTATATTGTTGAGCCTTCTATTGAAAGCAGAGCCTTCAATTATGTTACTCATGGCCCTGTCAAGCCAAGTCTTGAATGTTTCCAGTAAGGAATATTCCACCACTTTTCTGGCCAACCTATTCCAGTGTTTAGTTGTTCTCACATGAGATTTTTTTTGATTTTTTTTTTTCATCCAGATGGAGTTTTCCCTTAAGCACCTTGGGCCTGTCGCCTCTTGTCCTGTCACCATACATCCTTGTGAAAAGAGTAGCTCCATCTTCTCTACAACTACATCTTAGAAACTGGAAGATTGTGATTAAACCCCTGAGCTTTGTCTTCCTCAGGTTAAACAAAGCCAATTTCTACAGCTTTTACTCATATGTGTCAAGTTGGAGGCTGGTGCCAGCAGCGGAATTTTGGGTTTTTCGACCATGGGGCAGTTTACATGGCACCAGGCCTGCTGGAGACAGATGGGGTTCACCTGTTGCAAAGGGGGAAAAGGATCCCGGCCCGGGAGTTAGCTGGCCTCGCTGAGAGAG